TCACACCTGCGTTGATTGTATTGTCAAAGTGTTTGAAATTCCTTCACTGAGCTTGTTACGTGGAAATAAAATGTGGTTGGTTTTAAAAGCTGAACCTTGTCGCCTGTGTTTTGCTCTGGGGTCTTCAGGCTGTCCAGCTCCTCTCCAGGTTGACCAGCTCCATCCCCTCACAGTACGAGTGAGGCCGTCTGGCTTTGGGCTGTGGAGAGAGCGGTTTTGTCTTGTATTCCAAGCGGAGCTGCTGCCCTCCAACCGGGGAAGAGCTGATGGCTCCCGGCGCTTCCCTCGGGGGCTCCCACCGCTGTTGCCCTCCCCGGGAGGGAGAGAGAAAGGCTGCAGCCACGGGCATCTGCACACCCTGCCTGCACTCCCGCTCCGGGGAGGGAGCACGGGCTCTTGCAGCGCTCCCATGCATACAAGCCAAAACCCAAAGCTGCTTCCCCAGCACGCTCTGCTCACCGGTCGCTGCCTGGAAAGCTGATGGAGGAGGGGAAAGGGTGTCCACTGGATGGGTTCCATGGGCCAACTTGACACTGAGATATCACTGGCTTTTCCCGAGTCCACCATAGGATCATTCATGCTGCTGGAACTTGTGTCCCAGTCATAATGGAAACTGTGAAGAAAATTAGCTGGTAATTAAAAGGGAGAGGAGAGGGTAAAAGTCAAAGATGTTGCCCGTAAAGCAGCCCGGGGACATCAGGAGCAGGACCCTGCCTGGAGGTATTTTGCTGCAGTGGGGGATGTGTTCCCTGCACTGACTCTCTGCAAATGTGCTCCCCGGTCCCTGCGGCAGTGCTCATCTCGAGCACAGCAGCAAAGGGAGTCATTCCTGAGCTCGCCCAGCCCCGGGGCCCATGGGTGGGGGTGTCCCTGGCTGTAGTGCCGTTTGCTCATGAAACTGGAAAGTTCCAGGGCCCTTTTTCCATTTACACCCCTGGAAGCTGATTGTGAAACTTTCTCATACACGCACACAGCCACACTGTTTCCTGCAGATGTGAACCCTTCTTCTGTGAAACCAGTTCCCATCACACAATACTCCTTACGTGGGGGGAAGAAGAAAAGAAGCCACTTATTTCTCCTTGGACACCAAAGGATGCCGTGGGGAGCTTTAGCTCCCTGGCACTGTTGGTAAGCGCAGGGAGGCCAGCACGTGGCTGGGCACTGGCCGCAAAGCGGAGGTGCCAGGGCAGGCTGCTGGACCCCCAAAACCCCTCACTTCTCTGTTTCACCCTTGCCCACTGAGCAAATTAAAGATGAGATGTTGCCACAGGGGCTTGGCAAACCTCCCCGCTTCCTGGGCCGGCACGCCGGGCGGGAGGGGGGCACGGGGCCCTGCTTGGCGCTGTCGGTGATGCCCGAATCCTCCCGGCAGCTGCAGCAGCCGTTGTCCAAGATCTGCAAGTGGAGCAGCTCCTCCGAGTTGCTGAAGGCCGGGTTGTCCAGCGAGCTGGCCGAGGGCAACCAGGAGCGCGACCAGTACTGGGCTGAGACATCGTCCAACCGGCAGAACCGCCGGTAGCTGGGGGACAAAGCCAGGCGGCTGCGGCAGCACCCGGGGCACACGCACACAGGGACACACACACACGCGTGTGGACACGCACACGCCACCCCACACGGCTGCACTGCAAGCGCCGATGGCAGCTTTCCACCCAAATTTCACAGCAGCGGGGCAGGGCCCAGCCCCGCGCCCTGGGTGGGGACAGAGCCCATGACACTGAACAACATCTGGCCGCAGTCCCGCAGCTGTTGGGGTGGTTCCTCGGGAACAATTCCCCCCACCACTACCCCCACGACACATTACAAAACCCCGTCCGGGAGGGCAGCGGGTCCGGGACCGCTCTGCAGCCCCTGAGCACTGGAGGCACTGGGATGGGGTGGGGTGGGGTGTGTGTCCCCCCCTGGGACCACGTATTTGGGGGGGCTCATCAGCACACCCCCTGCGTCACTCAGTGTCACCCGCGGTCTCATCCAGCCCTGCCGCCTCCGGCACTCCCTGCCCGCACTCCGCTTCCCCGGGGGCCCATGAGCATCCCCCGGGCACCG